GTGTGTGTGAGAGAGAGAGAGAGAGAGAGAGAGAGAGAGAGAGAGAGAGAGAGAGAGAGAGAGAGAGAGAGAGAGAGAGCATCGGTCAGTTGTCTCCACCACGAATGAATTATCTGTTATATTTGTTTTTTTTGCGAGCGAAGCCGCAACAGGTCATCTACTGAACTGTAGTTAAAGTTTCTACGGGTGTGGACTGTGAGTGTTTCTTCTCATAGTCATTTTTGGTTTCTTGTGAATCCTTTCCCACATGAGCAGGGGCGCCTCAGATTATGGTTGAGAGGATCGAGCCCTCTGGGACTTTAGCCAGGTGCAATATTGCTCATACAAAAAGCGTAAGACAGGGCGACTTGCTGACTGCGTTAACAGGCCCTGAAGGAATGTTGGAATATGTTGCCACCCCAGTACACCAAGGGGGGAGTACTGCCACTGCGGCTGATGTTCAGCAAAGGGTAGTAAAATCAGGAGGCAAGGGAGTAAGACTTCAGTTTGAGCGACGAATTGAGACGGTAATGTTCTTTCAACTTCTTTCTTCTACCATTGTAAGAAGGCCGGGATCAATTGAGAGCTCTATCGCGTTCTAAGGTGTGGGGGATTTGGCCCATGGCCCTCTACTTGGGAATAGTCATGCGGGCTCACCCTTGCTCAAGGAAATGCCTCTGAATATAGTCTAGAGAAAGGGATGTACTTGCTTGCATGACGTGCTCGTGTGAATGCCCTGGTTTCAGAAAATGCCTTTGGAAAGAAAGCAGTTTGTGACAAGGACTGCATTTGTCATGCCTCATGAGTAGAGGACTCGAACAGCCATGAGGTGCAAATGCAGGAAAGCATCCGTACAAAAGTAGATAATTATTCTGATTGATAGTTGAATCAAACTATCCATGTTTGCTTTCCACTGGGCACTCTCATTTACAACTTTTATGCCTTCTGCATACCTGAGGCTCATGGAGATGTGTCGCATCATGCACATGCGGTGTACAGCACGCACGCACATGGCACATCCCGGAAAATAGGGGTCTAGAAAAAATTGGGAGGGGCAGGCTGTGGTGGTACACCTTGGTCCTCCCCTTGAGAAAAATGAAATGCACTAGAAAAAAAATTGGGGCCGCGCACGGCAGTGCCTCCAAAAAACTGTGTATGTTGCCATGTTCGCTACACACAACTCCACAGGAAAAAAAACATGACTGTGCCAGACTGTTTCGTCGGACTTTCGCCGACTCATCAGTGTGTGATTGTGTCAGTTGTGTTGCGAATGGATGTTAGTAATCATGTTACCCATCTCTCAGGTTGGATACAGTCATGATGAGGGCGTGCTGTGTTGTCTGCAACGGATACTTCTGACACCATGCACCCTCGTCATGACTGCATCCGACCAGAGAGGAGTTACAATCATTTTGTGAATCGCGTTATTGGAGACATGGCTGTTATACACATCTAGATGTGTATAAGAGACAGCCTCTATGGGATGAT